CAAGACCTCGCATTGTAAATCCTGATCTCTAGTAGTTGTTATTGGCCGCGAGCTGACAATGCTTTCGAACTCATAGAGTGTAGCATGAAGAAGTTCGGCCTACTGTCTTCTGCGTCGATCTCTTGACGGTGCCAATCATTCTTTCCCATACGCCACCCACCCTTGGTGATGAAGGTTTAATGAAGTTCCATGTTTTTCGATGTTCTGCAAGGAACAGAGGTAAGGGCTGTCTTCTTTGTGGTTCCGATCTTGATATATGTAGAAGAGATTCTGTTAGTTGGAAGGTTGTGCCGTTGTCGCTCAGTATCTTCAGTAGAACTCCTCTTCGAGTGATAAATCATTTCCACTGAATATGAAGCTTTTCGCTGATAGATCCATCGCTGCTTCTAAATGAACAAGTCTTGTGAGCAAGCAGGTGAAGAGAGCTACATATCGCTCGACGTCTTCTCCGGATGAAGGTTTAATCGTAATCGGACCCATGAAGTCTAGTCAGTATGAGAAAAGGGAGGTGATTGTGTAACACGCTCTGAAGGTAGAGGATCCATAGTTGGGTACCTGTAAGGTGCAGCATTGTATTTCCTGCATATCACACAATGTTTCAGGAACCTTTTACAAAGAACTCGATCTTAGTATCGCTGTCTGACATTGTACAGAAGCTGGTTCGTTCCACAGTATGAAAGTCCATTGTGCAGTCGCAGTGCGACAAGATATCCGAGATTGCTTTGCTTTGGTGTATGAATCGGATTCGCGGTGTCGGAGCTAGCGTCTACATAATGTAGTCTGCTGCACTTTGTCAGCATGCCTTCGCTATGCAGTCTGACATTCAGCTTTTTGTTCTCCATGAGTGAAGCAGAATTGTGCTTGGCTTGTTCGTGCCNAGCTGAGGGAGTAGCTGTCGTCAGTGATTTTGTTTTCAGAGCAAAAATTTCGCCCCTTGTTGCGCTACGGATGAAACGAGCGCAGTAAGAGGTGACTCGTAGCAACTTGGAGGGATTGTTGGTTTGCTCTAGGGGCTATATTGCGTGTCTGACTTGTTTTCCGTGGACGCGGAGGTGTATGCCCTTTTTCGACGTCACTGTCGATGTTTTGTTCTCGTAGATTGGTTGCGTCCTCGGCAGGCCAGCAATTGTTTATGGTATTTAACCATGTTGGACCAGACCACCAACGGTCACACTTTAGTTATTTTTGATCACTCCTCTAGTTGCGCAGTCAGCTATGTTTTCATGTGTTGGCACATAGCAGAATGTGACATTGCCGAAAACACGGATTCTTTTTGTAATGAGCCCAATTTTCTGGACGAGCTTGGTGATCATTGTGGGTAAACGTCTATATCTTTGTATCCAACATAGGGCAACGGTTGATTCGCTGAAGAGGTTGACTTATTCATACTTGATGTCTACCTTGTTCGTGGTGGACCCTGCTAGACTGAGCCCTAAGAATGTAGATAGAAGCTCTAGAAGTGGTAATGTTTGTTCCACTTGATTGGCGCCACTTTAGATTCTGCGGTGAAAGCCTTGTCTCTTCGATGCCTCCGCAAGACATCGTTCTTACGTAGATACTGCAAGCCCTTCTTGGAGCTGTCCACAAATATTGACATCGTATGACCGGTAGCCCCTTCTTTTCCGCAACTTTCCTAGGCAGGTTTACTTCGAACCCAATCACATTTGATGTGATGGATTTTCAAGTGTTTTGAACCTTTTCAAACAAGACGTAGCTCCGTCCGTGCTTCTTTTTGTGAAGATCCTGAAGAAACATCTTAGCAGGAATCATTAGCGGTGATAGCAGGCCAAGAGAATCGTAACAATATCCGTTGATCTGGCTGAGAACTGTATTTTGGTGGTCTTGTTTGCTTGCTTCTCAGAAGCAGAATTCGATAGGTAATCTCGTAAGTTCATCCCGATGAAAGAGAGTAAACGCTAAGACTCGGTATATTTCCTAATTAGTTCCTCGGCTGTTCTGCCTTCGAGGAGTACGTTGTTCACGTAGAGAGGGTTGGATAGCTCTGATGCAATGCTCGACTGAGATTGTTCGATATGCTTAAGTACCGATTGATTTGAAAATGCTGAGCTTGCCTCAATGCCGAAAGGAACTCGACAAAAGCGAAAGTACACGTGGTCGTTCTATGTCGGAAGAAGGGATGGATCTTTCACCCAGAGGAGTCTTGCTACGTCTCCGTGTTCTTTAGGCAGCCGTATTTGTAGAAACGCTTTGCGTGCGGAATTGGAGATCCCCTTCAGGTATCTATGGGGTTAATGATCACGTCATTGAAAAAGTACTCGCCCTTTGCATGTGAAGGGACATCGAATACAATTCGCAACTTGGTAGATTGCAAAGGAGACCAGACGTGCCTGTGAAGAAGGTTTAAGGTAGCGACGCCATTGAAAAGTTCTCTTTCTCTATCACTTCTTCTTGAAGGTACGTCATGAGAGTGTCGTTGTATAGCATGAGTTTTTCTTAATCCCTGTTCATTGTTCGCACTAGGCTTTGCAATTTTCGATAGGCTACATTGAAGTTATCTTTGAGGTTCTCAACTTCATCAATGAAGTCCAGCAGTGATGGTTCCATTCTCGATAGAAAGGGTTTCCCTGTAGTCTTCCATAAATTTGGTGACGGCTGCTTTATCTATGCCACTTTTCGTATTAATTCCAAAGATTCTAACTAGTACAGATGTTTTATGTCCGTTTTGTAGTCGCGTTTTGATGATATAAGAGGAGTACCCGTAATGAGCGAGCTACATTGTGCATCTCTAACTTGCTTCATTGACTGCTTTCATAGTCCGCCGGCCGGGTACAGATTGATAGAAGCTGCGGCATCGATCAGTCTTCGCTAGAAACAGAGACAATCCTTGCAGTAGTAAACGATGCGGTACTGAACGATGGCAGTTTGAGCGACGCTTCGAGTGATGATTCGAAAAAGCTTCGTTGAGCTCCAATCGAGAAGCAGAGTTATAGTTCGATAATCCATCTCAAATTCATTGAAAATCTGAACTGAAGCTATTTTTTGCACATGTTGGCAAAATAGTTGGTTTTATTTGTTTGTTGTATTCACCTGAAGAGCAATATTTGAGAAGGTTTAAACTCGGCTACTTGCTTGTTGCTGATTGGGCAATCTTAGCGGCTGTTTCGAGCGATTGTGATTCGCCGAATTTGCACTCCTTGAAGTTGCTTGAGAAATTGTAAATGGCGGTGGATATTGTGTAAAACTCGATGTATTCGCTGGTTGAGATCTGCCTCCATTAAACGTGCAAATTGACGGATGGTGGTGTTATTTACATTTTGGACATTTGTTGACGACAAGGCATTGACTTGAATTGTGCCCATTGTTGAAGCATCTCCAACATGCTCTTTGTCTTTTGGCTTCGGCTCTGCGCTTTTTTGGGGAGATGAACTTGATGCACCGTTGCGGAGGGTGCATTTCTTCACAAAGACATCTAAGTTTCTTTTGATGCGGCAGCGAGGCGACGATTCGACCGCGACATCTCCATTCCTTAAAGTAAGCTCGTCCTCGAGCTCCAGTTGTAGTTCCCGTTTGGCGTAGGAATTCTTTTAGAACATAAAACTGCAGAGAAACAGATGAGATGCGTTGTATGACATTGGTGAATCTTCTTATTCTCCTGCTTCTTCTTCTTCTTCTTATTCTTTAGTATTTGTTCCGCTTGTAGACGGGGTCCCTTTTTTGATATGTTGACGTCACTTCTCCCGATTGAACGCTTGGTCGGGGTGGATTTTAATCGCTTTAGAGCCTTCGCGCAACGTATCGAGCCACCACTGCCTTGGACGTCCTGTAGGCCGCTTTCCGGACACGTCAATATTGAGACCGATCTTTGCGCGAAGAACATGACCATACCATCGTAGAAGGGCTTCGCGCATTTTATCAACAATGGGCGCTACACCGAATCGCTCCCTGATGGCATCATTACTTACACGGTCTAAGCGTGTTGCTCTGGCTGTCCAGCGCAGCATTTTGGTCTCCATCACATTGAGACGGGCTTCAACTTCTTTGGTTGCAGGCCAGCATTCAGCGTAAATTGCAACCGGCCGGATGACGGCTTCGTAAATCTTGGATTTGAGACGCTCAGGGATGTTCTTGTCGCAGAGTATGCCAGTCATTGAGCGCCACTTCAACCACGCTGCATTCACGCGTGAATTCGTTCCAAAGCTCAGGCTGCAGTCAGACGCAATCCAAGGTACTTGAAGGTTGTTGTGCGTGTGAGCTCATTGCCATTGATCTTGATAGAGTCTGGCTCGCTCGAATCAGTGGTCGAGTGCTCAGTCTTTTTGACGTCTAACCTGAGCCCGAACATAGCCAGACGTTCGGACCAGGTCTGCACCGGTGACTCGAGCTCACTTTTGTCTTCGCTGGCGAGCACCACGTCATCGGCATAGAGAAGCATCCATGGAACCGACTTCTGGATGTCTTTTGTAATGGCATCCAGGACGACAACAAAAAGTAGTGGGGATAACGCAGAGTGGTGTGGTGTACTCCGACGGAGATGGGAAAATCCGTCGATGTGCCGCTGCCGTTTGCACTCGGCTCTTTGGGCTAGTGTAAAGAATGCGCACCCACCTAATGAGCTCTTCGAGAACGCCATGCTGTCGTAAGGCATACCATATAAATTCACGTGGAACGTGTGGCGTGTATGGCATCGATGGTGCTACAACCAGCTACGAAACCTCACTGATTAATGATTAGCTCGACGATATCACGGATACGGCTGTCTACAATTTTCTCAAAGATTTTCATGCTGTGCGAGAACAAGCGAATTGGACGGTAGCAGGTGCAGTCCCAAGGACTGCCCCTCTTCTTCCAAATAGGAGTCGCCGTGCTCTGTTGCCAGCTTTCAGGCGCCTTCTTCTCTGCGACGACCTGGTTGAAGATTTCCGTCAACCATCCTGCAGAATTCCAGCCTTTTGAGTTCCACAAGTCCACCGCTAAGTCGTCAGGACCAGCGGCTTTGCCTGATTTCATCTTCTTCAAAGCCGTAATGATCTCATTCACGGTTATCTTCCGAACGGGATCGTGTACTGGCGGAGCACAGGGGATGGCGGGATGAGCTAATTCGACTGTTGAGATGTTTGCGAAGTACTCTCGCCATCATTTCAGTGTTTGTCTGCGGTCCCTCAAGAGGTGACCGTTTTAGTCATTTATGCCGAAGAACTTTCCTATATCCTCGCTCTGGCGGTTGCGGGTCTTTGTCGGTAAACGTACCGCTCACCATCATGAGACTCGAGTTTCTTATTAAGATCGGCATAAGGAGCTGCCTTCTCAGAATCAATGGGCTTCTTTCTTCGCTATCTGATAGCGTTGCCAGTCGCTAGTCGTCTTTTCGATAAGAAAAGCGTAGTACTGCTTTTTCTTGACACGGACTATATCCCTGACATGGTCCGTCCACAATCATGTTTGCTTATCAACCTTTCGCCGTCCAGGCTTGGTCGTGCCGAGCCTCGACCGCGCAACCCGGTTAACGCTTCCGCAGCTCTCTTCCAAGTTTCGTCGACAGTCGCTACCGCTGTTAACAGAATGCTGGAAACGACGGCCGCTTCTTTCTCCTTCCACCACTTGATTCTCGCTGGCCCTCACCTTTCTGCTAATTTCGGTTTCAGCGGGGCGATCTTTAACGTACAAATCAGTGGTCGGTGTTGTGTTGCGACCGTTTCATAGGGAACTGTTTTCGCGTCTGTTACGAGCCCCTGATCGCGGTGCCTGACCAGGGTAAAATCAATTTGTGTTCTGTACTCACAGCTATAGAAGGTGATGAGATGATGGTCACGTTTGCGAAATCTCGTGTTTACAACGGCGAGATTATGCCAGTCCGCATAATCGAGAATTCGCTCGCCATCAGTGTTATGTGACCCATATCCAAAACCCCATGGCAGCTATAACCGTCTTTCGTAGCGCCCACGTGACNTCTTTTCATCGAGCAGGTTCCAGAACGTGTCCTTGGTTCACTCGGAGCATCCAGTCTGCGGAGCATTCGCCGAGAAGGAATGGTATTTTTGGCAGTCGATGACTACCACGATCTTCGTTAGGCGGTCATCGAAGCGCTCCAAGCTTACTATCGAGTCACGGACTTGTTCAGAGACTATTATCCCAACGCCGTTGGTGGTTTTGGGGCATTATCCCAACGCCGTTGGTGGTTTTGGGGCCACCGCGAAGAACGGCTTTGAATTCGAGGGTAATGTTCCTGGACTTGCAGCAGGACCACCTCGTTTTCTGCACGGCCCAGGAATCAATTCTTCGACGCTCTAGAGCTTCTGCTAACTCGTACAAGCGTCCCGATAACGTGCCAAAATTTAACGTCCCAACGCGGGTCTTCCATATGTTGCGTGGCTTTCGGACTAGCTTAGTTGCCCCCCGATGCCGTCCTTGTACCGGAGACCCTCGCATACTTTTCACCGGGCCTTGCGAGTGCGCGTCGGCTCCTGCCAGCGCTGTAGCATGACATCGAAGTTTTTTAAGTGACATTAACATTTATGATGTGACGGGGGTGTTCGTAGGCCAGCCTGTCACGTAGCCTGTCGCCTGCATCCGAATGTCCGTGGTCAGCTCAGCCCACACGGTGGGTAGTTTCCAGTAGCTTCCCTTGGAAAAACGGACATCTCCACCAATGACATTAGTGAACACGAACATTGAAATAAGAATTTTAAGTTGAAAGCTGAGCAAAAATAGAAAAAATCGAAAAGAATAAATCGTAAATTGGAACGGCTAGAACGGCTAGGTTACGCCATCCCTTCAAAAATAGGCTCTTCCTTGAGCCAAAAAGTAGTGAGGCGCGACGAAAAGGATGGGGACGGGTGGAAGTGTTGACACCTTCATGACCGTAAGTTAATGTCGAATAATAAAAAATAAAATGTTACTCTTATTAGTTATATAACTGTGACGATGATCACGAAAAGGTGGTGTAGGCATTTTTCCTTTTTTTATTATAATGAGGCAATATGAAGTCGTAAAGCTACTGATGATGCTAATAGGTCATAATATGAAATATTCGTGTCATTCGTTTCGTTATATTGAGACGAATAACCACTTTGTGATACGTGATGTTAGTCTATTTGAGCCTAGGGCGACTGATATACGGAGAGAGAAGAAATAATGTGATTCGAGTACTAGTCTGTGGGTCGGCACATAGTGTCGACTAGTACAAGGGCGTGATTTTGAACTTTGATGTCTCTTGTAGAGCCTCTCCAGATCCATAGAGAGTTCTTGGCCACCGTAGCTTGATGTTGGTATGTAGACAACGAAGATTACTAGACGGGAGAATGAGTCATATCTTCTCAATCGCGAACTTCCGACTCGAATTGCCAAGCTTCCATACAAATACATAGATTTGCGCGCATGCACTGCCGGT